TTCCGCATCCGGCTCTTCCTGTTCCTGCTCCTCTCCTCGTCCTCCGCCTCCGCCTCCGCCTCCTCCTCCTTCTCATCCTTCTCCTCCTCCTCCTCCGCCTCCTCCTCCTTCTCCTCCTCCTCCTCCTCCTCTTCTCCTCCTCCTCCTCCTCCTCCTCCTCCTCCTCCTCCCCTCGTCCCTCCTCCCCCTCCCCCTCTTCCCCATCCTCCTCCTCCTCTTCCTCCTCCTCCTCCTCCTCCTCCGCATCCTCCTCTTCCTGCTCCTCTTCCTCCTCCTCCTCACGGCGCGGCGCCACGCGGCACAGCGCGGACAGCTCGCCCACGAGTGCCAGGAGCAATCGGCTCTCCCCCGTGGGGGGACAGAGGAAGTGGCATGAGCATCGTTTCTCGGAACTCCGCGCGGACCTCTTAGAAATCATGCTCATGCTGCGCTTGACCCCGCTTCCAGAAGATGGGTGGTGGCATCCGGACTCCACCCCCACCGACCGTCGATTCTCCTGAATCGATGAGAGGCGGGGGTAGGGTTTGGATTTGGCCACGTGTTCTACGAAGTCCGAACCCTACGCCCGCCGCCCATCGAGTTGCCTGAATCGTTGATCGGCGAGGGTAGGCTTCGGATTTCGCCGCCGAACCAAGGCACAGCAGGGCCTTACCCGCTGGGTCGAGCTGCTGTGCTGGCCTGGTGCTGCGTCTCCTTCGGCGCTTGCCGTTCTAGGTCGTCCATCCCTGCGCCTATTCTCTGGCGTCCAACATACGTCCCCTCCTCCCTCTTCCTCGACTTCTTCATCTCGGTCCTCACGAAAGATTCCCCCCTGCGTCGTAACACGGGACGTGCCCGCAGCCTGACCGCACGTGTTGCTCAAGCCTTCGTTACAGTCTACTACCATGGGGCTGAAAGCTCCAACAGCCACAAGGATGGAGGGCGGGTGGTTTGAAACAACATGCGGATCTCGCCTCAGCGCCGCGGGCATTCGCTCTAAACGCTTACAGCAACTACAAGAATTGGGGGCCGATGTCAAAAGGCTGCTCTCGCCCATAGCGCGGAACATATCCGAGAGAGCGTGACCCACCGCCGCTTTACTGTGGAAAATTGCCGCCCTTTTCCTCCAGAACCCGGGGGTCCCCCCCCCCCTCCGAACCCCCCCCCCTGCTGGACCCCCCCCCCCTCCCCTCCCCCGGCAACCCCCCGCCTCCCCTAATTCCTCCCCCCCCCTTCCCCTCGAAAACCGGGGGGGTCACTACCGGTTCGAACCCCCCCCTCGAAAACCGAGGGGGGTCACTACCGGTTCGAACCCCTCCCACCCCCCCCCTCTCACCGCCAGCTAACGACCCGTCCCTACCACCGTCCTCCCACATCCCCCACTGTTGTTCCCAGCACCACTCACCACCACTGTCCCCACTGGTTCCACCACCGCCCCTACCGTCCCCACCAGTGCCACCACCACTGTCGCACTGTCCCCACTGTCCCCACCACTGTTCCCACCACGGCTCCACTCTCCCAACTTTGTCCACGGCCCCAACCACTGCCCGACTATCCCCACTGTCCCCACTGTCCCACTGACTCCTCCGCTGTCCCACTGAGCTGTCCCACTGTTCCCACCACTGTCCCCACTGTCCCCACCACTGTCCCCACTGCACCTCTGTCCCATTGTCCCACCGCCGTCCTCGCCACCGCCTTCACCACTGTCCCCACCACCACTGTACCCTCCACTTTCCTACTGTTTCCACCACATTCCCACTGTCCCCACACCACTTTCCCCACCACCACCGTCCCCACCACTGTCCCACTGTGTCCCCACCACTGTCCCGCTGTCCCCTCACCACTGTCCCCACCACCACCGTCCCCACCACTGTCCGCACCCCCCTTCGGTTTTCGAGGGGGGGGGTTCGAACCGGTAGTGACCCCCCCCCCGGTTGTCGAGTTCGGGGGGGGGGGGTTCGAACCGGTACTGTGACCCCCCCCTTTTCATGATGAACCGGGGGGGGGGGAGGGGTTCGAACTGGTAGTGACCCCCCCTCGGTTTTCCGGATGGGGGGGGGGGAGGGGTTCGAACCGGTAGTGACCCCCCCCGGTTTTCCGCCAGCAGCGGTAGAACACGCTCTTTCACATATCCGTACAGTGCGGGTCTAGCTCGTTGGACCTGTGATGGTCATGAGGCCCGAAGCCAGGCGAAAACGCACAGTGTGAACAACAACGCAACGCCAAGATCTCCACACAAACGAGCAACAAAAACACACACATACACACACAGTTCGCGGAAGTCCGCACGGATTTCTTGGATCGGCGCTGAGCCCCTTTCCGCGGCGCCGCCAGGGGGGCCAGAGGAAGAGGAGGAGGAGGAGGAGGAGGGGAGAGAGGAGGAGTAGGAGGAGGGGGGAGGAGGGAACAAAAAGAGGAGGAGGAGGAAAAAAAAAGGAGGCGGGGAGGAGGTAGGGGAGAGAGGAGGAGGAGGGGGAGGGGAGAGGGAGGAGAGAGGAGGAGGAGGAGGAGGAGGAGGAGGAGGAGGAGGAGTGAGGAGGAGGAGGAGGAGGAGGAGGAGAAGGAGAAGGAGGAGGAGGAGGAGGAGGAGGAGGAGGACGAGGACAAGGAGGAGGAGGAGGAGGGGAGTGGTCAGGAGGCAGCAGCCGGGAGGTCTTCGAAGGAAGGGCTCGGGAGAGTCGAGCCCCGCTGGAGGAAGGGGCCGCTACGCCACACTAGGCCGCGGATTAGGCGGGATTGAGTTGAGTACACCAGCTGACTACCTACCAGACCACCCCAACCCAATCCGAAGACTCGAATTTGACCCGAATTTCGGGTTGGGGGGGGTACGGGCTCCATGTTATTTTTCAACGTTCCCCGACCCCCCCCACTGGAAATGGAGTACAAATTGAGGCCTTCGGGTTGGGTTGGGGTGGTTTGGTAGGTGGTGATAAGCGTGGTCGAGCCAGAGTTCGGACCAGGGCAAAGTCAGAGTTTGACCTCCCAGGGGCTGCATGCGAGCGTTTTTGTTATTCGGCGTGTCGGCATTGGGCGGAAGGGGGGGGGGGAGGGTGTGGGGGATCTGGCTCTGGACCTCTGCTTGGTGCGACTGTCTGCAACAATGCGTCCTGTGGGGGAGACTCCACCCGAACGAACCGGGCGCCAAAAAACAGCCAAGATCAACGTACTCCAGGGGGGAGGGGAGCGGGGGGCCCGCGTCGATCGGCAAAATCCGAAACATGATGATGATGATGATGATGATGATGATGATGATGATGATGATGATGATGATGATGATGAGGAGGAGGAGGAGGAGGAGGAGGAGGAGGAGGAGGAGGAGATGGGGGAGGAGGGGGAGGAGGATGAGGAGGAGCAGGAGGAGGAGGAGGGGGAGGAGAAGGAGGAGGAGGAGGATGTTGATCGTCGAGCCCTGCCCCAACGCCTCCCGTCCGCGGGCGGCCCCCCCGCCTTCCGGCGCCTCCGATCCAATAGGGCCCCGCGGGAGCCCGCCGAGGCCGCCGAGAGGCCGCTGCGCACAACTGCAGGCATGCACAGCGAATCGCGGCCAGAAAAATCTCGCCGAACAAATTCATGACATTTCCGTGGTTGGAAAATATGTTGGAAAATGCTTGACCATTAATTTTGGATGGGCTTTCTTTTCTGGACAACTTCGATATGATTCCTGCTCGCCATCTTGATCTCAGGTACGGAGCATTTTGAAGGCGGAAAACTGATATCGGGGCCCAAAATCCCAAGAGGCACCCCAGAAGCTCCCCAGAGGCCTCCAAGAGGCTCCCACAAGGGCCCCCCAAAAAATTGCCCCCCAAAGGGGCCTCCGAGAGCGCTCCGAAGAGACCCCAAACAAAATCCTTGAGGACTCTGACCCACGTCAGCGTCGTCGTTGTCGTCGTCGCCGTCCCCCTTTAGGGTCCACGGCACATACCGTAAGGCCTTCGCAATAGAAAAACAGCAAACAACATAAGCATAAACTGTTGGCGCTCCGTGCGGATCTCTTGGATCTGCGCTGGACCACTCTCCCTGGCGTGCGGAGCGCGCCAGCGGCGGCGCAGGAGACGCCGCGGGGGGGGGCCCAGCGCAGATCCAAGAAATCCGCGCGGAGCGCCACACCTTCATGTTTACGCAATTCTTCTCTTTCGGCCAAAACCGTGTGCTAGCGGATCGCTTGGTGACCTCGGATCAACCTCACCGCGCGGTCCGTCACCGCTCGGTTTCGGGACCTCGGAGGCCCTGGTCGCCCAGGGCGTCCTCCCAGGACGGCCCGAGCCATCGACGCATCACGCGGTCTGGTCACCACACCGCTTGGGGGGGGGCCCTCGAACACAGACCCCCAACGTCATGACTTGTTTTGAGCAGTGACCGACCGTCCCGGCATTCCTATAGTCCTACCACGAAATGTTCTTAGAACCCACAAATGTTCTAAGAACAAGTACGATGTCCTTAAAACATAAACCCCTATGTGTTAAAACATGACAGTCTCAGCAAGAAATGTTCTAAGAATATTTCGAGCCGGCCAAAAAAGTTATTATAACATTATTTGGTAGGAGCATCGGCGAGCCAGGACGCTTCGCCATTGCTTGACTGTTGACAACTTCGACCCCCAAAGGCCTCGACCCATACCCCGGGACCAAACTTTCAGCCTGCGTAGTTTTCTTATCTACGGCCCCGAGGCCGGGTAAGGGCCCCCCGAGGCTGAAAAGAAGGTTAGGTCGGGCGTGTCCTCCTACAGGCGGGCCTGGGACGAAAAATCAGAATCATCGAAAATGGCCAAACATGTTGAAAAAGACTCCAAAAATAGTCCCCATGTTTTTTTTGTTAAGCACTGTTTGAATACTCCTCCTCTAGAGGGACGTGTCCGACTTAACAATCATGGAGAGCCGTCCGTCGTCATCTTCGTCACGACGCGAGGGCCCCGAGGCCCCGACCAGGGCCGCCAAGGGCCGACCGCAGCGAGGCACCCGCCGGCGTGCCCCCCCGCAGCGACCCCGGGGAGGGCCCTGGGCGCGCCCCTCCCACGGCGCGGCGCGCCCGCCGCGGGACCACCACGGACAGGTCCTCGGACTCGGCGCCGATGAACGTGATCAGGACGACGGCCACCACGGTGATGGCCTGTGCTGGACGTGGGCCGGAGTCAGGCGCCAGCTCCCGGCACCAAGAGAGGGCCGAGGAGGGGGCCCGCGAGGGGACGAGGGAGAGGGAGCGAGCGAGGGCCAGGGGAGCAGGCGCCACGGCGGAGGGACGGCCGCCGAGCGGAAGAACCGAGGCTGGTGCTGGCCTGGAGACCAGCGGCGAGCTGGGGAGGCGCGCCCAACCCCTCTTCTCCCCTCCTCCTCATTATCCTCCTTCTCCTCCTCCTCATCCTCCTCCTCCTCCTCCTCCTCCTCCCTCCTTCCTCCTCCCTCATCCTCCCTCCTCCTCCCTCCTCCTCCTCCTGCTCCTGCTCCTGCTCCTGCTCCTCCTCCTCCTCCTCCTCCTCCAAAGCATCGGCTCGAGGCTCTCCGTAGAATTGTGGCTCCCCTGCGAGCTCAGAATTGTGTCCGACGCCGCAACGCGGCGCTTGGGTGGCACCGCGTCTTCACCTGTTTCATTGGGTTGCCGATCGCGGTGGCGAAGTCGGACAAAGAGTTGAGCAGGGCTCGGTATCCTTTTCGTGATCTACTTGCGGGAGGTCGGTCGGGTCAGGTCCATCTTGGGCTGGATATTGACCGTTTTCGGTTGTTTCCTGAACCGGTGGCCCTTTGCTTCCGCGCGTGCTAACCAAGTTTTCTGCGGGCTCCAGCAACAGGTACCTGGTTATTGGCTGAGCCTGGCCAGCGAAAGGCAAACGCTTTTTGGTATCGGCTGAGCCTGACAGGCGCAAGGTTCATGGTCTGGGTTATTCGTGGTTCGAGCTTTCTTTTACAGTTATTCGTGTTCAGTGTTGGGCTGGGGGTAGGTTTGGAGGAATGAGGAAACGAGCTCAGTACCCGTACAACTTTCGAGTTTGTTCGGTTGAGAGTTTGCCCAGTGACCTGTGCTGGGCTGCATCATGGACAGGGCCGTATCGAGTTGAATTAATCTCTGCCTATGTGGCTGTCATGTATGTTTGCAATGTGGTATTTAAACTCTCTCTGTGCGACGAGTGATTCATCAGGGACATGCGCGGCTGTGGTCGTCCTCCTATGGCTTATGTTGTTCTTGTCCTTTGTCTTCTGGTTGGGCTACTTCTCGTTCGATTTCAGGAGGGCGGCCCGAAGAAATAATAATCATTCTTGTGACAGCGGAAAATCCAAGCATATCCTCCTCCTCCTCCTCCTTCTCCTCCTACTCATCCCCTCCTCCTCCTCCTCCTCCTCCTCCTCCTCCTCCTCCTCCTCCTCCTCCTCCAGCCTCATCCCTCCTCCCTCCTCCCTCCTCCTCCTCCCTCCTCCCGCCTCCCGCCTCCCGCCTCCCGCCTCCCGCCTCCCGCCTCCCTCCTCCCACCTCCCACCTCCCTCCTCCCATCTTCCTCTTCTTCCTCTTCTTCCTCCTCCTCCGCTTCCTCCTCCTCTTCTCCTCCTCCTCCTCCTCCTCCTCCTCTCCTCCTCCCCCCTCCCAGCCTGCCTCCCTCACCGCCCCCTCAGGGCATGGACGGGCCGCAGGAGGCAGAGGACCATAATCGGAACACGAGGAGCACGAATAGGCTGGTCCTTCCAATCAGGAAGATCCTGGAGGCCTCGTGCGGCACCTTGAGGCCCCAGGTACGTCGGATGCACGTCGGATTTACGACGTGTTGCGCCAGATTCACGTCGGATCCTTTTCAGCCTTACGCCGATTCGTCTTCTTCGATCCTCCTCCTCCTCCTCCTCCTCCTCCTCCTTCTCCTCCTCCTCCTCCTCCTCCTCCTCCTCCTCCTCCACCTCTCCTGCTCCTCCCTCCTGTTCCTCTTCCCCCTCCCGTCCGGGGAAGCGATCGGGAGGACCGGCTCAGGGGGGAGAAACATCGACCTGGAATCGGCGATGTATCGCCGACAGATCGGCGACAGGCCCCCGATCGCGTTCCGGGGCAGGGTGGGGCTGGCCGGCACTCATCGGCGACGGATAGGCGATTGGGGGCCGATGCGCCCATCCCTCCCCGAACCAATTCCCCCCCTAAAGTTGCCCCTGGCTTGGACTTGGGAGCTTGGGCCTCGACTTCCGGGCCACCACTCGAATTCCAGGCGGTCGCTTGGAACGATCCAGACACCCCTGGAACGCTGTCGGCGAGGCGCAGCTGATGGAACGCACCCAGAGGCTGGAAAACAGCAGAGATACGACGATCATGTCCCAAAGCCTCCAATATCGAACCCGAACCGTTCCCACATGAGCCCATATCGATTATCCCCAGCACTTGTAAAGAAGCCTCTGATCCGCCTTTCGCCACTTGTGCACGCCTGGAATTGAAATGGAACGTATGGGCACGATATCTAGGAAGTGACAGACTTGTTACGGATATGAGGTGATGGTTCATGTGAAACAAGAACTGCTGTCCGTCAAAACCCTGCTGATCACAATTCTGGACACTTTGTCAACAACTCCTGTTCACTTTGGCAACCAATGCAGTCAATTGGGCAAGAACTGCCGTCACACTCCCAAGACTGGCTGTCCGATGGGCCCTGCAAGGCAGCAACTCTTCGCCTAAGTGAACGAGAGTCCGTTTGTTTCGGCTGCGCGCGCAAAGGGGGTGGAGGGAGGGGGGAGGGCTTCTGAGAAAGATGATACTTCGCAGAAGGCGCTGGCCTTGCATCTATAGATGAGGTCCGTGCCTTCTGAGAACCAGGGGTGCTTCGACGAAGATCCCCCCCTCCCCCCACCCCCCTCTGCACGAGCCAATCCCTTTCGGAGATCTCCTGACCCGGGTCAACCCAAACCCGGGTCAGTCGGGCCTTGCAGATTCCTGCAAGATCCTGCAGGATCGCGCACGCCAACTCAGGTCAACGCACCCCTGGCCCTGCAGGATCCTGCAAGGTCCGGCCCTCTGGCTGCCCCCCTTTGCATTGACCCCCGTCCTTTGAAACCCGGATCTCGTTATGACTCGCGTGACTGGCCCCGCTCTCTCCCCCTCTCCCCGCACCTGGCCGCGTCGCCGCATTCTTGCTTGCGCAAGAGTTCGTTTTCTCCTAACCATCCTTTGGTGTTGGGTCCTCGTTTTGCAGAGACAGCGCCCCGCGTTCCTCCTCTCCTCTCTCTTCTCCTCTCCTCCTCCAGCTCCTCCTCCTCCTCCTCCCCCTCCTCCTCCTCCTCCTCCTCCTCCTCCTCCTCCTCCTCCTCCTCCTCCTCCCCCCCCTCCCCCTCCCCCTCCTCCTCCTCCTCCTCCTAGGCCTCCTCCTCCTCCTCCCCCTCCTCCTCCTCCTCCTCCTCCTCCTCGCAGCAAGCCATCACGAGAGCGAGGACGTAGCAGCAGGAGTATACCTCGAAGACATACGCAGACAGTTGAAGGTTGCTAGAGCAGCCGAGCAGTACGCGTGGGCAGGATCTCTGCTCACAGTTTCCACGGGAGGCCAGTGGCCTCGCACCCGCATCAAGCAAGTTTGTCGATTGCCTGATGATTATTCAGAGCTGTGTGACAGATGTGGGGAGGAGAAGGAGAACAACTTTCACAGGATATGGGGATGTAGATGTAACAAGGAGCTGCCCGCGGTCATATCGACAGACTTTCTGCTGCCTCGCGCCTACACACAGCACGAGGCCCAGCCGTCCTTATGGCTGAGACGTGTCACGTCTGCTGCTTGGACATCAGTGACCCCTCCACCGCTCGAGAGTTTCACGCACATGGCGAATTTCCAGTCTCCTCAGGCATCTTGGTTGGAACGGGTGACGCGTCTGGCGGGAAGCATACGACATCTGACATGTTTCGGAAAGTTGCTTGGGCTTACATAGTGTTCAGGCAGTTCAACATCTCCGAGCTGGAGCCACAACTTGAAGTGGCCAGGCAAGTTTCATGAGCAGTCTGGAACGAACAGACTATAAATCACGGGGAGTTGTTGGCCTTCTTGAGATTCCTGGAGGACTCCCCTGTGGGCCCCTACCTGATCTACGTCACAAATAGTTCGTATGTTTCCCAAGGTTTCCTGAAGGTTCAGCACAGCATGTTCCCAGATACGTACAAACACGATTGGAATAGAGTTCGAGCTGCAGTCGATCGACGGTCGATCAGTGTCTTGAAGATCGAATCACATATGTCTGCTGAGAGAGCCGCTCTGAAAGGCACGCCTGTGTTCGAGTTTGTTGGTAACTATTTAGCGGACAAGCTCGCAGACGATGTAGTAGCTAGGCATCAATTATCCCCAGGAGAGGTCGAAGCCGTGGAGCTAGGCCTCGCCCTGTCTAAGAGTATGAGGAACCGAGCCACCGACGTTTTCCTAAGTAGGTATGCCGAGCAGTCTCAGGATGTGGGTCCCAGGATCCCTCGACGGCCTCGGCCGAAGCCGAAGCCGAGGCCCAAGGCCCCTGGTCCAAAGCAGATCCTCGGCCCAAAGATGGCCAAGCTCATGGCGGACAGTAGCCATGAGATGCAGTCTGTTGAAGCTGGTAATATATTTCAATGTGTGAAGTGTTTGTCGGTGGCCTCGATCAATTCACACGGGGCAAAGCCCTCACAGGAATTTCTGAGAACCCCCTGTGTGCCCGCCAAGCCCTGGTCTGGACCTGTCCACGGCGTGAAATCTGTGCGCGGGGCGTTCCTCGGGGCCTCGTTCCTGCACCCGTCGCACGAGATGGTGGTCACACAGAGAGGGACCTTCCGTTGCCTGAATTGTGGGTCCCACGCCACCCGCAGCAGTCAGAACTTGTTAACGGAAAGCCAGTCGCGCACTCCCGCAGGTCAGAATTTTCTCGACAAGAAATTCATGAAGGGCCTAGTTTGAGGCCCACTCTCAACCCTCCCACAATGGGAGGCCTCTGGTTTTTGGAATCTGACCACTGGTCATCGGAGCGGTCCTCCTCCCCCTCCTCCCCCCCTCCCCCCTCCTCCTCCTCCCCCTCCTCCCCCTCCTCCCCCTCCCCCTCCTCCTCCTCCTCCTCCTCCTCCTCCTCCTCCTCCTCCTCCTCCTCCTCCTCCTCCTCCTCCTCCTCCTCCTCCTCCCCCCTTTTCCTCTGCCCTCCGCACGTTTCTGTTTCGGCACACCCAGAACTTGCACGCTTCGTGGCCCCATAGGAAGCTCCACCGAAGGCCCCAGTGCCAGGGCCCGCATGCCGCCACCTCGCCATTTCGGCACACCCCTCACACGTTTCGTGGCCACATAGGAAGCTCCACCGAAGGCCCCAGTGCCAGGGCCCGCATGCCGCCAACCTCGCCATTCGGCACACCCCTCACACGCTTCGTGGCCCCATAGGAAGCTCCACCGAGGGCCCAAGTTGCAGGGCCCGCATGCGGCCACCTCGCCATTTCGGCACACCCTCACAATCTTCGTGGCTCCATACGGAGGCCCACCGAAGGCCCCAATGCCAGGGCCCGCATGCCGCCACCTCGCCATTTCACCTCTCACACGTTTCGTGGCCCCATAGGGAGCTCCACCGAAGGCCCCAGTGCCAGGGCCCGCATGCCGCCACTTCGCCATGTCCTCACACCACTCACGCGCTTCGTGGCCCCATAGGAAGCTCAACCGAAGGCCCCAGTGCCAGGGCCCGCATGCCGCCACCTCGCCATTTCGGCACACCCGTCACGCGCTTCGTGGCCCCATAAGAAGCTCCACCGAAGGCCCCAAAAGCTGCGTTCGCATGCGGTTCCACTCCCACATTCCGGCGAACTCCTCAGGGTGCTCCACCTGAGGCCCCAGTGGCAGCGCCCGCATGCGGTTCCATCCCACATTTCGGCGCACCCCTCGCACGTTTCGTGGCCTGAGGCGGCACCACCGAAGGCCGCAGCGGCAGGGTCCGCATGTCGGTGCCATCCCATTTCTGCACACCCCTCGCACGCTTCGTGGCCCCATAGGGAGCTCCACCGAAAGCCCCAGTGGAAAAGGCCGCCTGCCGCCGACGGGCCAAATTGGCACGCCCCTCAAACGTGTCGTGGCCGCATAGGAGGATCCACCGCAGATGGTGCTCACAACTGCGGTACGTATCACTGCTGATGGTTGGGTCCGTCGCCAGGCTAATTGTTGTTCGTCTGCGGTGTGAACAAAACAATAGCCTGAGATCATCGCGGCGTGCAAGAAAAACAATAACCCGCGAGCACAAGCGGGGCCTGTGAGGAAAGAAAAATATTGGAGAGGAAGTAACATCGCCTTCGGTTATCACCAAGGCAGGGGTGCTTGCGCGCACCTCAGCGCCTGCGTGCGCTTGAGGCGCCGCCGGGGGGGCCCAGCGCCGATCCAAGAAATCTGCGCGGAGCGCCAAAAGTTTACGTATATATAGTGTATTTTCTTTTTTTTTGCTAGGGGACGCTAAAACAAAAATCTCCAACGACGCCGTTTTGGGGGGCATGGGCCGTTCTCTTAGGCAAGCATCTTCCCAGACTGCGCCGACGCGAGGCGTGGCGTGGCCGGGCCCCCTCTCAGGTGGCAGCTCATGGGAGCATCGACGCTAGTCAACGCCACATCGACGCAAATCGACTAGAAGAAGAAAGAACGGCATACACATCACCTTTTGGCGATCCGCGCGGATGTCTTGGATCCGCGCCGGAGGCGCCCGAGGCGCCGCCAGGGGGTCCAGCGCCGATCCAAAAGATCTGCGCGGAGCGCCAAAAGTTTATTGTTTCTTGTTCTTCTTCGGTCGACGCTACATCAGGGCTGATCGAAGCTGAAATCGGCACTATGCCATCGGCCGCCAGGCGCCAATCGACGCCACAGACGGAATAGAGAGGGTACACTGGGCTCCCATGAGTTGCCAGCGAAGCCCTGCCCCCCCGGGTACACGCCCGAAACTCTGCGGCTTGGCACCGTGCCCATAGCTACGTTTATGTTGTTTCCATCCTACCTAAGGACCGCATCCCAGAAATAAGTTCGAGCACCCGGAAAAGTGCCGAAAGAGTGTCGAGACAGTGTCGGGCGAGCGTCTCCCAGGGCCCGACACGTGAAAACCCTCGAGTTTCGGTATTTTTTGGTGCTCGAAATTTCTTTCTGGTGGTCAAGGCTCGATTAGGCTGGAACTCGGGTACGGGGGACTTGGGTTGGCCTCAAAGGGGCCATCATAAAGAGACCCAATCTGAAATTTGACGCGGGCTCCCGCTGCTGACATCCCACGAAACTGGGACCGTCGAAATCCAGGACGCGCTCGTCAAAAAAAAACCAGCGAACCCGAGTTCCGGCTTACTCGAGTCATACGTTTCCCCGAATCCACAGCGTGCCAGTCCCCGCAAGCCCGGCGGCGGCCCGGCCTGGCCAGAGCGGCCCCGCGCGTCCAGGTAGACTCCCGCCGCGCGGGAGAGCAGTCGCAGGAGGGCGTCTGCCGGGCATCGGCGAGCGCAAGGGGAGAGAGAGAGAGAGAGAGAGTAGACGAGCGCGTTCCACTACTCGCAGAGGAACCACTCGCAAATGGCCTGGATTCCCCGCGGAGGATCTACGATCAATTTCAGCACAGCGGACATGTGGCTTTCGGACTTTGGCGAGTAGGCACTTTGCGAGTAGTGGAACGCGCTCGGCGAGAGAGAGAGAGTGCGAGGAAGCTCCCGCGCTCACAGGATGGGCGAAGACCTCGCGGCCACCTGCGGTCACTCCCACCGGGAGCCCTCCGCGCCGCTTCCAGCGGCGAAGGGAGCAGGGGCGATGGCAGCGATGCCAATGGACTCGAGGAAAGACAGGCCCTCCGCCCTCGACAGTGCGACTACCTCTTCAGGCAGCCCTTCATTCTTCAAGGGGTGCTTGCCCGCCAACAGGCGGTTTCGGTGAGCCTTCGCAGGAGTGCGAGGAAGAGAGATTCCGAAAACAATTCCTGGGAGGTCCTCGTCAGAACAGACAGGGGCGATCGAGCTCGATCGAGGAGCCACTGAGCCGCATGAGGCCGGATAATACGCCCGGGATTGAGCCAGATCAGGCAGGCTTTGTTTGGATGAAGCGGGATTGAGCGAGGTGAGGACACATGTCGACCAGGGGATCTACCAGCGCCGATTCTGAATCACACCTCGCAGAAGTTGCATCCTCAGGAGAGGGAGGGGGAGGACGGCTGGGGTGAAGGTCAGAGGGGGAGAAAAGTACCGACCCCGCTGCGCCTCCCTCGCCGCCGCGGCTGGATTCGCCTCGGAACCCTGGCCAGAACTTGCCCCCATGAGGAGAGTACCGTGGAGTGGTGTCGCCAGGATCTGTGTACTCCCTCCGGAGGGGGAGACATGGATGAGGAGGGGAAGAGTGGGCCAAGGTGGGAGGACCCAGACATCAGGCGTCGTGGTTTTGCAATGCGGGGTCCGAGAAGGTCCCGAACAATTCCCAGGGACTGGCGCTTCAATTCTGAGTCGTTTTTTGACGGTCCCAGGGCCTGGCGAGGGCCCCTAGAGGCCGAATATGACGAACAACTTCCGTTTTGTTTTTAATACGTTGGATCTCTGGGGAGAAGAGGGGGGGAAGGCAGAGGTCTGTAGGGAGGGGCAGCAGGAAGGATGGCGGGTAGGAGGTGGAAGGGGGGCATCTTCCGGCGGGGGGGGGGGGGACGAGGCGGAAGACCAGGGGCAGGCGACGAGGAGGGGAAAGGGGGAGGGGGAAGGGAAAGAGGAGGGGGACGAGGAAGGGGGGAAGCGGGAGGGGGGAAGGGAAAGAGGAGGAGGGGGAGGGGGAAGGGCGACGAGGAGGGGGATGGGGAAGAGGGATGACAAGTCAGACCGAGAGGGCGGCAGAGCTCCCCAGAGGCCTCTCCCTCCTCTCTCAGACGAAAAGCCAGGACGAGGCAACACAATCGGGTGCGGAAGTGGCGAGGATCGCTGAGATCTGGCGGTTCTCGACATCCTTCTCCCTCTCGACTGCGACCACAGGGCTGCCGCAGGAAGCCGCCACGTCTGAGGCACGGCGAGGCGTGCCTCCGGAGCGGGCGCCCTCGCCGCAGGTCGCCCGCGGAAGCTCGGGAGAAGGCTGGCCTTCTGCTGTGTGACCTGTGCGGTCTACACACCGGGGGCGAAGAGCGTGGCCTGCTCTGGACGCCTCGTCCCTTCAGTGGCTCAATCGAGGACCCATCTGCGGACGCCTCGGCGGAGTACACCTCCTACGCCCACCGCCCGTGCGACACAAGCCAGCCCAAGCGTCGCGAGCTGCAGCTGTACGTTAGAACCCGATCCTCCTCTTCTTCATAATCACCAGCATCACCATCATCACCAACCATCACCATCGCCATCATCACCATCGGGGCCAGCATGACCATCATTATTATCACCATCATCATTATCATCAGCATCATCATAATCATCAGCAACATGATCATGCTCATAATGATCAGAATGATCATCATCATCATCATCAGCATCAGCATCATCATCATCATCATCATCATCGTCGTCGTCGTCGTCGTCGTCGTCATCATCATCATCATCATCATCATCATCATCAGCATCAGCATCATCATCATCATCATCATCATCATCATCATCATCATCATCATCATCATAATCAGCATCACCATCATCGCCGTTGCCATCGCAACCATCATCATAACCATCATCATACACATAAGCATCATCCCCATCCTACTCGTCCACATACGCATCGTCTAAGGCCGCGTCGTCGTCATCCTGCTCCTCAAATATCCCACATCCATCCGCCTCTGACCGGTTCTTTGAATCTCCACGTGCTACGACTTCTGCTACCACTGTCGCCGTCACCCACGTCGGTGGCCTTGGCATCAGGGTGGCTACGGCAGTGGCAACTCCGAACATCGCCCAATCCAGCAGAGCACGAGGGTGCAAACCCGACTTGTCTGGCTCGTGCTGCGGGGCTCGTGCTCAGGGGACGCAGCAACACCGCTCAACGATAGGCTGTTCAACAACATCTCCAGAATGGGTCCTTTCCCTAATCCGAACTTCGAAGGCCGATCGTCTGCGCGCCTCGTCTCGTCGTCGTCGTCGGCGTCGTCGTGGTGCGTGCTGCCCAGGTCGGGACTGTGTTTCCCACCGCCACCACCGCCCGCTGCAACTGCTGCGTACTGCCGCTGCGGCTACTGCTCTTGCGACTGATACGATACGACGCTGGCTAATGCCTATTCCTATTCATAGTCCATGACACTCGTACTCCACATGCCGCTGTTGCTGATAATACCCATGGCAATTGAGCATTCCTCGCGCCTGCTTCCTCCTACGCCTACGTCTTCATCATCACGGTCCTCAGACCCATCGCGCCCACCTGTCCCACCCTCAAATCAGTTTCGCACACTTATACACTGGTTTCACGCGTTTTACAAACATGTGTATACGTATATGTGTGCGTTCTCTCCTTGCCGTGCACGCTCGAATCCTATTGTGAACCTGCTGCTGAAGCTCAGCTCCCCAGATGTATTTTTCGAGGGCACGGATTGGAGCGGACAACGATCGATTACTACTCATGCATCCAAAGACTACTAATGAGGCATCCTGCCGAGTGGCGGTCCTGCGAACGTGGCCGAAACTCGGGCCGCAAATTCGCGCAGAGAGGAGAGGAAGAAAGAAGAGATGGAGGAGACAGCTTGCTATCCATGGGCAATTGCCAGCCAACCTGCAATCGCCATACTCCAGATGCTGGTGCTCCCCCACCCCCTCCAAACGCCATCATCCGCCTCACCTTTTTCCTCCTCCTCCTCCTCTTCCTCCTCTTCCTCCTCAAGCCTCCCCTCCGTTGCCCTCCCTCCCTCCCTCCAATCACCTACTGCCACCATCCTACAAATCATTATCCGTCCATGCCTGAATCCCCCCCAAACTCCACGATGCACTCCCACACCTCCACTTCCTCCTCCTTCTCCCCCTCCTCTTTCTCAAAACTCCGCGGAGCCTCTTCTCAGACGGAGGGGCATGGGGAGGTGGAAGTCGACAAGAGCGAGGAGGAGGAGGAGGAGGAGGAGGAGGAGGAGGAGGAGGGCGCGATGGACGAGAAGAGGGAGACGAGGAATACGCCGAGAAGCAGCAGAGCGAGGATGAGGAGCATGGCAGGGAGGCAAGGGGGACGACGAGGAGAATGACAAGGAGGAGGAGGAGGAGGAGGAGGAGCAGGAGGAGAAGGGCGTGACAGGGCGAGGAAGCCAAAAGATGAGGCCCAGGTCGAGCGCGCACGGCTAGAAGGACGGCGATGAGGCCTCTGAGCGCAGCGAACAGCAGCGGGAACGACGCCACCACGCATACGCCCATGCCGAGCCACATCAGCAGCACCTCTGCGGGGCGACGAGGGAGCCCCCCCTCCGCCAGAAGCGAGCAACGCCCAGCACGCACAAATTGGGGTTGTGTAATTTCGACAAACAATATCCCAGCGGCCGCCAGACCTCAAAAATGTCCCGATGAACCCCGAGAGTCCCGGGTATCCCGCCTCGCGCCCGGCCAAACCCACTCTGCATACCGCGGCCGCCAGACCCCAAAATGTTCCCCGAGTCCTGGGTATCGCGCCTCGCGCCCGGCCAAACCTAGTTACTCTGCATACCGCGGCCGCCAGACCCCAAAAGTGTCACGATGATCCCCGAGAATCCCGGGTATCCCGCCTCGCGCCTGGCCAACCCCACCCTGCATACCGCGGCCGCCAGACCCCACAAGGTCACGATGATCCCGAACTCCTGGATGTCCCGCCTCGCGCCCTCGACGAACACGACAGAACACAACATGACACAACAAAGCATGACACAGTATGACAGAACACAACGGAACATAACATATCAATATCATGACAAAGCAGAACATACCATAACATCACATACCGTGCCAGAGCAGAACATGACAAAACATAAGACGGCATGACACAAGATAGCATACCATAATCGAGCATGGCATAACACACCTTTTCAGCAATTCGGGATCATGACACAGCAAAACGTAATACATCATAACACGGCAGCACAACATAGCGACGACGAACACGACATAACACAGCATGGCGCAACATTACCATAACACGAGCATGACATAACATGGCATACCATAACATACAAACATCATGATAACATAGAGCATACCATAACATCACATAACATACACGAGCAGGACAATACCATAACATATGACTACACATCACAGCATAACGACACATGCTCGAGCACCACTTAACACACCTGGACATAACATATAATGTCATGGCGCAGCAAATCATACCATATCATAACACGACAGCAGAGCATAGCGAAGACGAGCACGACATAACACACCATGGCGCAACACAACATGAAAGAACAGAGCACGAGCACATGGCCGAACATAACGTAGCAATGTCATGATTAAGTAGAACATACCAGAACATCACATACCGTACCAACTCAGAACATGGCACAACATACCACGACAGAACACATCATGAAATACTAGAACCGAACATAACATAACACACCTTGACATAACACACTATAGCCTGACACAGACTCACATCGCACATAATAACACGACAGCAGAGCATAGCGGCACAAGCTAGCATAGCATATCAGACTGTACTATACAGAGCCGGGCCGTCAACAAACATAACATTACATACAATGACAGAGCACACCATGACAGAACAGAAGACATAACGCAGCATAACAGAACAGTACCGAGCATGACATACCAAACCATGAGAGAACATGCCAGATCGTGGCACAGCACCACAGAACATCTCAGATCACGTCTTTTTGCCGGTTCCGACGCCGTTGTATTACCAGTTCCGTCGCCGTTTTTTGACCGGTTCTGGCTCCGGTTCCAATCCTGGAACCGTTCTTGTTGCCGTTTCCGGTCGCCGCGTTTTTGCCGCTTCCATTTTTGAAGGGACCGGAGCGGTGACTAAACGGCCCTGCCGTTTCCAGGGCCCACACAGGGTCCGCACGGCGGGCGGCGCGTCGGGGGGCGAGAACGCCGACGACCCGAGCACGAGAGGGGCCGCGCGAGGGCCGGCTTGTGCTCCGCACGGAGGCGGGCGAGAGCTGGCTCACCGCGGGCGGCCGCGGGGGCTTGGCTGGTCGGCGGCAGAGCGCCAAGCGAGGCGGGCGCACCGCGATGGTCGAGACGCTCGAGCACCTGCAGCCACACATCGGAAGCCGGGCGAGGGCTGCTAAATCCGTGGCTGCTAAAATCGACCTCCGGGAAATTGTCTTCGTCCTTCCGGGAAGAAGCCCGTTGACCGTCTCGCGTGCCGCGCCTCATTCTGGGAAGTTGTTTTTTCCTTCCGGGAGGGTCGTTTTAGCAGCCACAGTTTTAGCAGCCCTCGCCCAGCTTCTGAACACAGGAAGACCCAGTACACCACGGACTCCAGCTGCGTTGCCAGAGGAGCGGGTCGGGCTCGCACAGGGAGGCTGCCCGAGGCGCACAAAGGCCTCTGGAAGCGGCATCGCGAAGCGGCTAAGCTGAGGGATATTGTTGTCGCGAAGATCGAGAGCCGCATGTCGGTGTCGGATGCTATCGAGGCGGGTGCGGAAGGTCAAAGTCGCGGAGGAGGTTGCAGCGCAGATCCGCAAGCGGGCGTACGCAACGCTCATGGCGGCGATGGAAGCGGAGCCATCCCAACGGCGGGCGGTTAAGGAGCGGAACAAGTGGAAGGCGGAGCTTGAGAAGCGCAAGCACCACATCGCGAACACCACGCACATCATCATCGAGGACCCGAACGGGAAGTACTTCAAGTGCGAGCAGTGCGGCTCGAAGGTGCCGAAGCACAAGCGGGGCGCCTGGTTGAAGAGTCGTGCTCGGAACTGGCTGCAAAGGAGGCATCGCCGCTCGGTGCGAAGCTGGGCCAGGACGTCCAGGTGGGCTTGCAGAAGGCGCGCGAGACGCACCTGGCGGAATACGACGCGACCTGGGAGGTCCACTGCTGCACGGTCTGCGGCTTTCACCTCGAGGGAGGCGACGAAGGACCCGGCCAAGCCGCGCAGCGGCATCCCCAAGCAGCTGGGGGCCCAAAGCCCGGCGCGCATCAGGACGTGACCGCGGCCCGGCAGTTCCTCGGAGGCCCAGGTCCGCAGCGCGGCCAGGTCGCGGGCGAGCGAGAGGCCGCGCAAGACTGGCGCGTCGGCGAGCGGAGCCTCAGGGCCTTCAAGGGATGCTGCTTCGCGCTGGAGTCCGTCGCGGAACCGATCGCCGCCGAGCCTCGGCCTCGGGATGCGCCGCACGCCCCCCCCCCCAAAAAAAATCAGCACCACCATCACCACCGCCACCATCACCACCAGCATCATCATAATCAGCAGCAGCAGCATCACCACCATCACGACCACCCTCACCACCATCATCACCACATCACCACCACCATGATCACCACCACCACCATCATCACCACCATCATCATCACGACCACCATCACCATCATCACCAACATCATCATCACCGCCGCAGCCACCACCACCACCATCCTCATCATCCTAATCCTGATCCTGATCCTGATCCTGATCCTCATCCTCGTCCTCCTCCTCCTCATCAGCATCCTCATCCTCCTCAGCATCGTCATCATTAGCATCCGCATCATCCTCATCCTCCTCCTCCTCCTCGTCAGCATCACCATCACCATCTCCATCACCATCATCATCATCATCACCATCATCATCATCATCATCATCATCAGCATCACCATCATCATCATGAGCACCAACATTAGTAGTAGTCGTCGTTGTCTTCGTCGTAGTAAGTGTGGCAGTAGTAGAAATATTAGTAGTAGTAGTAGTAGTAGTAGTAGTAGTAGTAGTAGTAGTAGTAGTAGTAGTAGTAGTAGTAGTAGTGGTAGTAGTAGTAGTAGTAGTAGTAGTAGTCGTAGTAGTAGTAGTAGTAGTAGTAGTAGTAGTAGTAGTAGTATAGTAGTAGTAGTAGTGTAGTAGTAGTAGTCGTAGTAGTAGTAGTAGTAGTAGTAGTAGTAGTAGTAGGTAGTAGTCGTAGTAGTAGTAGTAGTAGTAGTAGTAGTAGTAGTAGTAGTAGTAGTAGTAGTAGTAGTAGTAGTAGTAGTAGTAGTAGTCGTCGTATAGTAGTAGTAGTAGTAGTAGTAGTAGTAGTGGAAGTAGAAGTAGCAGTAGTGGTAGGTAGTAGTAGTAGTCGTCGGAAAAGTAGTAGTGGTAGTAGTAGTAGTAGTAGTAGTAGCAGCAGGAGTAGTAGCAGTGGTAGTAGTAGTAGATAAAGTAGTAGCAGTAGTCGTCAAAAAGTAGTAGTAGTAGTAGTAGTAGTAGTCGTCGTAGTAGTAGTCGTCGTTGTCGTAGCAGTAGCAGTAGTCGTAGTAGTAGTAGTAGTAGTAGTAGTAGTAGTAGTAGTAGTAGTAGTAGTAGTAGTAGTAGTAGTAGTAGTAATAGTACTAGTAGCAGCAGCAGCAGCAGCAGCAGCAGCAGCAGCAGCAACAGCAGCAGTAGTAGTAGTAGTAGTAGTAGTAGTAGTAGTAGTAGTAGTAGTAGTAGTAGTAGTAGTAGTAGTAGTAGTACTAGTAGTAGTAGTAGTAGTAGTGATAGTTGTAATAGTAGTCGTAATGGCAATTGTAGTAGTAGTAGTAGTAGTAGTAGTAGTAGGAGTAGTAGTAATAGTAGCAGTATGTAGTAGTAGTAGTAGTAGTAGTAGTAGTAGTAGTAGTAGTAGTAGTAGTAGTAGTAGTAGTAGTAGTAGTCGTAGTAGTAGTACTAGTAGTGGCAGTTGTAGTAGTAGTAGTGATAGTTGTAATAGTAGTCGCAATGGCAATTGTAATCGTAGTAGTAGTAGTAGTAGTAGTAGTAGTAGTAGTAGTAGTAGTAGTAGTAGTAGTAGTAATAGTAGCAGTAGGTAGTAGTAGGTAGGTAGTAGTAGTAGTAGTAGTAGTAATAGTAGTAGTAGTAGTAGTAGTAGTAAAAGTAGAAGTAGAAGTATTAGTAGAACCGGCAACATCATCAGCATCACCATTCATATCACCAACCCTATCATCATCAACATGAGCATCATCACCAGCATCAACATCATCATCAACATCATCATCATCACCATGATCAGCATCACCATTGAATTTGTCGTTCTCGTGCGCGCTTTTTCTCCGCAAAGATGACCCACAATGCTCGCCGATGGTCTCCCTCGCGAAAATTGAAGTGGCCCAAGGACACACAAATAGATAACACACAAATCCCAGGATTCCCAATGTTTTTTCCATATATTTTGGATTGCCGTCTTCTCCCCCCACTTCCCATATTTTCCTGTATATCTTCCTGGGAGTCGACGATGAATGGTGTGTGTTTTTTCCCCTCCTGATAAAAAACACGTCCCGGCGATGCCAA